AATTGATGGTTAGCAGAGGTCAGGATGAATCAGATAAGCTGAAAGGAATCGTAGGAAAAGCCGCTGACAGCTCTTTAGGTTGACAGTGGAGGATTTACACACAGATTAAAGTAATTTACTGTAATGTGGGACTTTTTGTTTTTGTTTGATTGAAGCAAAATGATTTTCTCAGCACTGTACACCAGGAAACTGTCAAAGTAATGGCCAGGTTGAGTTATTGGAGACGCAGGAACACCGACCTCTGACGCCTGCATGTGTTTTACTGGAATTTTCCTTGACACAAAATGAAAGGAGTCCATAAAAATGTGGCTGTCTTCTTTAGAAAAAAAAAACGACAGCTTCAGCCGTTTGCTCGGGGAAAAAAAAAAGCTGAATTTTTTCCTAATGATTTTCTTCTTGCTGTTACACCAGTAATATAACGAGTGCTGAAGGTGTTTGTTAAAATGGCCTCTGTGTGAGGCCTTATTAGAGCCTCAGGGAGGTGCTTGGGGTTGATAGTTGGGCGTACAACTCTCAGATGTGACTCCTCCAAACAGTTAATATTGGTTTTTTGTTTTTCTTATTGCGACCCTTTCCTACCTAAACACGAGGAAGCCATATACTTACTTAACAGTTTTATTTACCTTTTCATACAGTTGTGCAAACGTCTTGTAGAACTTCTTTATTGTTCTTGTGTCACATTGACGAGTTTGTAGGATTTCAGAATGAGCGTGTACATATCAACTGATACACAAATAACAGATTGTGTCCTATTTTAATGTCCTATTGATGTATATGTCATGGTACAGACTGTGATCGGGGTTTCTACCGGTAGAATCTCCGATCCTACCAGGATAACTAAAAATGAAATTGTTGATAGAAATTGTCAAAAATATGAACAAATGAATTGATTAGAATTTGAAAAAAAGTTATTGGAGTAATAAAAGTGGATTGATGATTCAGTTGTTGAATGATGGGGGAAAAAAAGAAAAGAAAACAATTTGTAAATAAGGAGTTATGTCAATAAAGTAAATAAACTGTAAAACACTGTAAGTCTACCTTGACTGAATAGGACTTCAAAGTGCAGTTCAGTTATTTTTTTCTGAAAGATAAGACCAAGAACATATCAAACCAGTGAGTGAACCAAACACGGAAACTTTGTAAACCTTGTATTCATGAACATAATCTGTGATCTACAATCTTTGTTTTTATAATTAGGGAGAGTAATTTTACAGTTCATTTATTTTATTGAAACAATAACTAATTCACAAATTGTTTTCTTTTTTTTTTTTGGTTGTTTTTTCACAATCCACAGATCGTGTTGTGAAGATGCAAAACAAAACGCTGAAAACTCTAAAGTGTATTTCTGTGGTGCAGTTTCAAATCCGTTATGTCTCACATACACACGTGGACAAAATTGTTGGTAACGGTACCATCATTTTTGTCCAGGCCTGTTTCATGAGTTTATTTTTTTAAATAATTCTGATAAACCACGGTTCAAAAGCAATGCCTGGTTTTCATTGCTTAATTTTCATAGAATTTTTATTTATTATTACTTTTGTCAGATTCAAGGTATTTCTGTGACCATTGTGGGTTTTTCTTTCATTAGCCGAGGGGTACCAACAATTTTGTCCACGTGTGTACAGACTTTGTAGTACGTGACATTTTGCTGATTTATTATCCGACACATTTTGTTTGTAGATACATGTACATGTTATGTATTTTTCCAGTGGGTGATGCAGGGCAGCATCAAAAGGGCTTGGCATGTTTTTGATCCATTTTCGCTCATTGCCTCCCTAAAAAGTGGAAATGAGCAGAAACGTTCTTGGTCAGCTGATGACAAACTAAAGTGGGCTTATTCAGAGTATTGGGACCAGGCACAGCATTGTTTTTTTTGTTTTTTTTTTGACTAATCACCTTTCTCAGAACTTTCCTAGAATCATAAAACAGGGACTCTATGATGGGAGTTTATGGGTCAACTTTGGGGTCCTCTCTGGTATTTGTTAATACAGTCCCTGGGGTTTGTAGGTGTGCCGAGTGAGCTTTTCCAAAGGCCTGACCCTGTCATTGTACTCGCTGAGAGGAGAAATTAAGATGGATGTTGCATTTTTTTTTAATTTGAAGTGACTGTAGGCTCATACGGTTCGGGTTCCACAAGGTTTTTGTCCTTAAAAAAGTGTCACTGTCTCAGATTAGGCCATTTTAGAGCCATAAATTCTTGATGCTATCAGGATTGAGGACTTCTTAATAGAAGAATGTCAATAAACAAAGGTGTCTGAGGCTGTGTTTGTGATGTTGACTTGAAGTGTCTGTATGTATCCTTCCTTGGGTCACATGAAGAGAACATTCTTTGCATGTTTGTGGAGGATTTTACACACCCGTAACAAATATACCAATTTTCTTTATAGCCTTGGTCGTATTTTCCCTAATTAGCTGCAATAATTGGACTTAAACTCAGCCTGGTTGATGGAAAACAAAGAGAGAAAAACACTGCAGTTAGTACAGTTTTTGCAGTGCATGAGAAACGTGTTACTAATAACCAGCACTGTGTTTTTTAGGTTTTGTTGTTGGTTACTTTGAAAGTAACATATCCAACTTTGTGCTAAACATCTCTGTCCTTACAATGTTTTGACCCATGCTTAATTTAATTTAGTTTTTTAATTTTATTCTGCTCATGGTGGTACACAACCATCTCGAAAATAGATGGAAGAAAAAGCGATGCATAATAAAGCCACAATGTGCAGGGAAGGAAAAAACGTCTTATTTTCCCTGCACCTTATGCAAAACATAGCAAAATGAAAGTGACAGACCATCAATTTCTATTGCTTATTTATACAAAGGTTTAGAAGGTGTGGATTTTGCTGTGTTCTCCTTCGGTTACATCAAAGCGATCATACGTCAAACAGACGCACTAAAAGCATTTACACAGAAACTTCTACAGATATATATATACATGTATCGCACATTGCTGACTTACTGCATCAGAACATAAATACACAGTAGTTTGAACAGACAAGTAATTCCTCGTAGTATCAACAGTAGCCAGACTGTGAAAAAGGCTCAGTTCATATTTCCATCCAAACACCACAGTGTGACTGCACATGTTGTTTGGAAGCAACGATTAAGAAGCATCATGAATTTAGATGAGCTTGGTATTGAAATTTAGGATAAAAGAAATGACTTTTCATTTGCTATATCTATAAAACTATTAAAACTATAGTAAAACCATTTTAAAAAAATGCTAAATTGTAAATTGTACATATGGAAATCTTTGTATTGTATTCTGTTTTTTCTGTTTGCTTTTTTACTTTTGCATTTTTTGTATATTGTCATTTAATTATTTTATTTTCTGCTACTGATAAAACAATTTCCCTTGTGGATCAGTAAAGTTTATCTAAGTCTAAGTTTTGACCAACCACCTATCTCATATGGTGTTATGACCTATGAAAGTTTACCCAAAATGCATTTTTAAAAATTCATTTTAGTTTTTCTGCAGTTAATTATCAGACAACAGATAAGACATCCAGGGTACCAAAGCTTATTTCTAAAAGTGTATGTTGTGGACATTAAACTGGTGCAGTTTTGCTATTACAGTTATGACATATCCCATTACATTAATGCTGAAATTGGTTATCGAAACAATTGTGCAGAACAAAACCTAGATTTTGACTTTAGATCATGACAAATGAAGTGAATGTAAAATTGATTTCAATGCAGTTTTTAATAGTGTGTGTTTTAGCCCTGAAACGTTCATGCATTTTTCTCCTTGACTTCTCAACTTATAAGTAACTTATAAATCATGCGAATTTAAGCATAAAAGCACAATATTCTGATTCACTACTGCGCAGTGCCTGTAACCCAAAAATATTTCTTAGTAAGAAGGTTAAACTTTGCTTTGCTTCATTAAATATACTGAAGTTATTGTACAAAAAAATGCAGTTGATTCTGAAGGGATCAGGTTCAGTTTTGTTTTTCAGATCTTCTATGGAGTGACTGTAGCATGTGAAACAATGAGCTTCAGACAGAGATCAGAGCTGCAAGTGATGATTAGTTCCTCAGAAACTTCTGTAGAGATGCAAAACCACAGTGACTGTGCACAATAAAGTCGAGAGTCCACTCCCTCATGCGCTTGACATTATAATGTTTTCTGCAATATCTATTGTGACATGAAAACATGTAGGAACCAGATGGCTTGGGCTTGAGCAGCTATTTCGAAAGAATGAATCGTTCCATAATGATTAGTCACTTTCTGAAGGAGAGTCCATCTGCATACAAACTATAAAAATATATTAAAAAGGAGATTTAAGAAAAGCAATTTAGAACATTTCACATGTGGTTTTACTGGCAAAGGCATTTGATTTTTGGCTTCATCATGCGATCTGTAGCTGAAACATTTCCACGCTACTGATGTTGCAATTTCTTTGTGCAAACACACCATTACGATGTTTTTTGGCTCATTTCGCTGTGCATGTGTGAACCCTTAAATCCGAGTAATCTGTGCCAGATTTCTTTTGCTGATTAATCGTGGAAAATAGGAACTATACAAGTATTGTGTCAGGCAATAAAAAAAAGTTGTAGCAGGATGTGTTTTAATCATTTGCCGGATTTCCGTGCAATGTGACTTCAACATACATTTAGCACGAACACACATCAAAGTCCATGAATGTGGAGGTTGGCATTTGGCCCTCTGCAAGGCTGCATATGCTATGAATGTATAAATCTATCTTGATAACAGGGCTGCATGGTGGCTCAGTTGTTAGCTCCATCGCCTCACAGCTAGACGATATCCGGTTTGCATCCCGGTTAGGACGCCTGGGATCTTTCTGTGTGGGGTTTGCATGTTCTCCCCGTGCAGCGTGGGTTCTCTCCGGGTTCTCTGGCTTCCTCTCACAGTCCAAAAACACGCTAAGGTTGATGACCCTAGTGAGGATCAAGCGGTGTATAGATACTGGATGGATGGATCTTGACAGTAGGGGTTCGTGCGCTTTGCCAAGTTAATCTGCGCTCTTGTGTTTCTGCAGGCCTGTTTCTGATAGCTCCTGTTCTGATGGCCCCGACGCCAGCCAACATGTGCAGACCCCTGAAGACGCTCAACGACAGCCTCAGCCACCGGCGACGGTACATGGTGAGAGAATGATGGCATGTTTGAAAGCACGGGGTCGATGATGTCTGGTGAGGTCAAAGAAGTGGACAGGAATGAAAACTGTCCTGACCCTTAAAGGCAAACAGTAGCTTCACATTTAAATACATGCCTTCTGAATATTGTCTACGCAGGATGTGGGATGTGTTCTTGGGCTCTTGCTGAAGACACAATTACTAACTGGACACTCATCGGAAACATCAACACCAATAATGCTGATCGGAGCAATTATTTCACCACAAAAAGCCTATTAAACCAGTTCAGTTAAAAGGGGACCTTCCTCAGTTTAGTGTTCCTCCATGAAGTTGGAACAAGTTGAGATGTTCTACCTTGTAGTTCCTACTTTGGGACAAACTCCAAAAACATTGTTCCTACAACATCCACGATGCAGCTAGATGTTGCCTCTTGCTAAACGCATGCTTTGCTGCCTGGTACCCAACTAAACATGGTAAACAGGTTTCTGTTAGCAATTTGTAGCCTCCAAGCTGAGATGACCTCGATGCCAACACGAGGACTGAGTCAAGATTCACACTTGACAAAAAGTAACACTTCCTCACATTCAAATAAAGTCACTGCGATGTGGAAAATTAGTCGAGAGTCCCTGTAATGGTCGATTTTTGGTGACTGTCCAGAGCGTAGACGATATGGTTTAGAGTGCTTGTTCCATTCTTTATGCACAATATTATAAGAAGCCTTTATTTGTGACAAATACACCACAGCTCTGTAAAACTCTCTTTTCACTTAAAACACCAGCCTTCTGATCAGTAACCCAAAGCCTCGATCATCGAGCCACCACTGCCCACTGAATAAAGCTGCTTAGACTGTAATTTCATGTGATAAACAACAATCTAAAAATGTATTTTTGTTCTTAGTAATGTGCAAAAGTTTTTTTTTTTTTGTTCTTTTTTTGAGAGTTAAGATACTCGTCCGTGTTTGCATTGTAATGTTATACGCAAGACTTCTAGTGTACGGAAATACGTTTCACCAGTGCAACACTATTGGTGGCATTTTATTTATAGAGCAGCCATAACATTAAAACCACTCGTCGAGCGCTATGCAGGTCCCACTTGTGCACCCCAAACCGCTCTGGACATTGGTGGATCATCCTGTGGTTTTCTGTGGGGTGGTGCCTCTGGGGATCAGGTTTATTCTGGTGCATCCCAAAGGTGGTTGATCAGAATGGAGGCCAGGCAAACCCTGGTTCTCTTTGTCGTGCTCCTTTTGCAGTGTGGCGGGACTCAATGTTCTGCTTTTGGGAGGCTATTGGTCTTGAACAGTGTTTAAGTGGGTGATACTTGCCAACATAACATCCACGCGAGTGCCAGGACCAAAGGTTTCCCAGCAGAACACTGTGCTGTATGCAGTCTGTTTATTGTTATTCACGGTTTTTACATTGCATATGCATGATTTAATCATTAAAGGACCAGAATAGTTTGTTTTCATGTGCAAAGTTTGATTATGAATGTCACAACCCACCAATCTCTCCAAAACATAAAGCGGAGTCAACTAAGAGTTTGCTTTGTGAAATGTTTGTGCTAATTTATGTCTCTCCCATATTCTTTGCGTTACAGAAGCACAACTTCCCCATCAACTACACCATCAGGGTTCACCACAAGGAAATCTTTAAACTGTCAAACATCAACAAAATGGTAAAAGCTGTGATTCTCTCTGTTCTCCATAAAGCTTGATTTATTGAATCATTCCTTGTTCCTGCCAAAAGGCATGTTGAGTTGATTCCTCAAAGGGCCAGACTTCAAACCTTTGACTTTACTCCATCAGTTAAACATGTGGCTACGTCAGACCCGTACACCTGCACACCTCCAAGATGTGCAGTTTATACACTGTATTCGCAGCCGGGTGCTGTATGGTAAAGTGTTTATAGGCTGAATAAGCACTTTGTTTCCCTCTCTTCTCTTCAGAGGTTAAATGTAGAGGCGTTGGATGACCTGGTTCTCCAGAGGCTGTGGTTTCAAGTCAACCAAGGCGTCTTGAAAAAGGTAAGAGCAGCTATAGAAATGTTTTTTACTAGTTGACTGAAGGTCATAAAATACAAGCTGCCGAAGAATCACAGTCATGCAGCCGTTCACTGTGTGACACAAATCCAACACAAAAAACGTTGTTCCCAGAAAATGAGATTTCTACAGAAGCTGGATGTATCACAGAAAAGTATGACGCTGTAGTAATCAATCATGTAAAAGTATGCGTGCTTACCATGTATCTAATAATGGGAATTTGTTAGTGGGGTGTTTTCTGACCACTGAGAGAGCAGGAGACTGTAAGATACCTACAAACACAGAGCACTAGTTACTGTACTTCTACCATCCATCCATCCATTATCTATACACCGCTTAATCCTCACTAGGGTCATGGGGGGCTGGAGTCTATCCCAGCTGATTTAGGGCGAAGGCAGGGGACACCCTGGACAGGTCACCAGTCTATCACAGGGCTACACTTAGAGACAGACAACAAGCACACTCACATTCACACCTACGGACAATTTAGAATCACCAATTAACCTCAACATGTTTTTGGACTGTGTGGGAGGAAGCCGGAGAACCCTGAGAGAACCCACGCTGCACGGGGAGAACATGCAAACTCCACTCAGAAAGATTCTGGTGCCCCCACCGAGATGCAAACCAGCGACCTTTTTGCTGTGAGGCAACAATGCTAACCAACTGCGCCACCTTGCAGCCCGTACTTCTACCAGCGAAAGAGATTTATGTGATTAAATAGATGCAGATAAATTCGTGACACATCTTTTAATGAGAGCCTATAGCTGACTGTGGGAAACTGTCTCAGCCTACAGTCTGGAACATCCAAGTAGGAAATCCCTGTTCATTTCATTAAATGTTCTAAGTGTCTCAAATAATTTCAATCATACGTTACTCATCCAGCCCCTTTCGTTTTATGGTTTGAGTATGTGCCCTCCTCCTTTCCGATTAACTCGTACCTACATGTAGGAGGAGGTCTCAGAGAGGATCATCATGTAACTGAGGTTAACTTCATAGCCAAGCAGGCAGTCTACAACATTTTCTTTAATCTGATTCCAACTACATATTTGCTTCCAAACTTTTAGTTTCCAAAAGCTTTATTTAAAAAATCTGCATCCTATGCGCTACCAGTCAATTTTATATGTAGACATGACACAGTGCAAGATCTCTGCACTTAGATTTGAGCCGTCATGTTAACGTGAACTGTCAAAAGTCCTTAACCCATAAAGGGTAAAACAACATTGTGAAGGTTTTACGAGCAACAGGGAACCACGATAGAGATTCCTGTAGCAGTTAATGACGTCTGACAAGTGTTCAAGCTAAAATGAGAAGACATACCACGCAATTTTGTCATACTATAGTAGCACACTGTGTTCTCATTCCCCTGCTGCAGGCAAGGAGTATGTTGTTTTTTTAATACCGCCCTGTCAACAACTGTATATCTGAGGGCGTAAAGATCAGCACCTGATCAGGAGCTATGTAGGAGAGAGGGCAGAGTGTTGAGGAAAAGCATTACAAAAGGCAAAATAAATCAAAAATTGGAAAGTATTTTTTTTTATTAGCTCTGAGGTAAATCACGACTAAAGTTATCAGTCAGTATAAAAAAAAAAGTAATGCTAAAATGTCACATATCAGTCAGTGACTGACTAAGGAGTCCTTTGTTATCCTTTCCCACAAGTACAGGAGGGTCTGCTTGAACCCTCTACAGACCTCCATGTGCAGTCTGTATTCGTAGGTTAAGTCGTGTGAATGTGTGGAATACTCAGAAAGCAATCGACCGTACACGTGTGAGAAAGCGTCCTCCAAACACACTGGAAGGTTGCATATTAGCAAAGACTACGCCTCTGTAGCGTTGCAGCGCTGCATGTGCACATCTGCAAATGAGTATAATCCTGACTGAACGGACACACACTAGGGGTTGACCGCTGATCGATCGCCCACATTTTGCCTTCAGGTAAAAAGTACAGTACCACATGTGGCTCACCTAGAAAACCTTGGGGCCTGAACCCCTGCACATTAAAGAGGTGCTAAGTGCACCACCTGCAGAATTAAGCCTGTCAACCGGTTCAGACTGTCCAACTTAAGTCCCCTGCCGCACTCCCATGACGTCCTCCACACACTGCAACACTTATCAAACACACCTTTTTAACTGTGGTTTAATCTCGTGCCGCGTGCCCACACATGTCGCTCAGCCCCACCTCCACCCTTAATATCCACCTGTCGCCTCTGAGGCTGGCTTCCCCACTGGAATATAGCATTGCTGCTGCCTGCTGAGTTAAGCTCAATGTTTCCTTATAGGAAGTGACAGAGTCACAGCCTACATATGTCACGGTGGGGGATCAGGGAACCCAGGTGTGGACACAGATGAGGCAGGCAGGCAGGTGAGGTGTACACAAGATTTATTAAACAAGCATAAAAACTGAATATACACTGAGGTGCGGAAACTAAACTGAGGGGGAGAAACAGAGCAGGAAAACCAAACTGAATCACGAAAGGGGCAAAACTAGAAAAAACTCTAAACAAAGAAAACTAATTCAAAGATACAAAATAAAGCTACTCAAACAAACAGGGATGCTCACAGGAGGGGGTCAAAAACAGATGGGGCAGACAGGCTCGGGGAATCCAGGCTGGAAGCGGTTACAGGAGAAAGCTGGCTGGGGGAATGTAGGCTGGAGACCAAGTGGGCACTGCCAGAAACACGCAGGAGGAATGTCTATGTCTGGCAGCTTGTGGTGGAAAGAACAGTCTTTTATGGGAGCTGTGGTGATTGTGAGCAGGTGAGACCGGGGTTGCAGCTATGAGTGATTGTCCTCGATTAGTGCTGAGATGAGTAAGAGACAGAGAGAGAGGAGGGACAAAAGAAGGAGAAAAAGAGGGAGACAGGCTAGAGCTGGGGCTGAGGCTGGGGCGTCATGACAACATACCTGAAATGAATGCTCTACAGCAGCGGTCTTCAAACTTTTTTGCACCACGGACCGGTTTTAAGCAAGAAATTTTTCTACGGACCGGTCATTACACACATAACAAATAATAATTGTTTTTTTTTTTCTATTGAAAAGTTTCATAAATGAATAAAATTAATTTTTATTACTTAATATGTTTACTTTTTCTTCTGTCTCAGTATTAAGTCTCTCCCACTTTCCAAAGCAGCTCTCCTGAGACGTTTGTTTTTGACTGACGGCTTCGTTTAGCAGCCGGGCATAAAAACTGACAGTCAAGTCCGGGAAACGAGCACAAACGGAAGTGACGGGAAGACGAGCTAGTCATGTTTCAAAATAAAACACCCTGCAGATTTCGCTGGAAATAAAAATAAACCAATAAAATGTTTTTATTCTATCTGTGCGGCCCGGTACCAAATGACCCACGGCCCGGTACCGGTCCGTGGCCCGGTGGTTGGGGACCGCTGCTCTACATGTTCTGGATTTACATAATATTCTGGTTGCCTGAACTTTGGTTTGGTGTTGGTTCCCTATTCTCAGATCTGTCACATATTCACAATCACATGTCACCAGTTACTTAAGCCCGCTACACACTGTGCGACTTTCGACCGTCTGAAAGATAACAGTCGTGAGAGAATGGTGGTGATATCATTTGGTCTTGGCTCTAAATCGGTGGTCCTACGTTGCTCTGTGAGGCCGGTTGAAGGACGGCTGTTGTCATGGTCTTGCAACCAAAGACAACCTGCGATAAAATTCTGACAGTGTCACAAATTTGGGGTGATCATCTCACAGTGTGACTGCTGCTGCGACCTACGTCAACTAACTAACCAATAGAAATGATCAGCATGACACCAGCTCCCTTTGCAAAATTGGCATCCCAAGTTGGCCTCTCTTTCCGAGCCACGACCACGTCCATATTCTCTCCTTCCTCCTTTTTTCGGGATTTCTCTCCAAACACATAAATGCCAAAAGGGCTCCGTCTATTTTTTTTCCGTGGATGGATGGGGCACATTTATGACGTTTTATTATTGTGCATTCACGTCAACTCACGTACATCGCAGGCTGCGATTCAGCTGGCCTTTTCATTGTGCAATCTGTACACAGCAAACTTCACGTCGTGCCCAAAGTTTGTTAGATTCATGTTGTACAGTGTAGCTCGCTGTGAACTTTTAAGATTGTTAAAATCGCAACCTATGAAGACCAATGACAGAATTCTTGAAAAACACTTGACACGCACGTCACCTAATAGTTTCTCAGTACATCACAACCTTCTGCAGCGCATTAATCCAGCAGGTTGTTGACTCACGACTAACAATTCACAAAGGATTCAGCTTTAGTGTATAAAAGTGCGATTCTTTCAGCTCTCTGAACCCAAAGCAGTTTCTGTCCATTTTTTTTTTGGCTCCTGTTACCTACCAAACTTTACTACTGACATTTTTACATTACATTACGTTTCAACAGAAAACTTGCTGAACTGATGTCACTTGACTGTTGGTTGCAGCTGAATCACTAATTGCTTCACGGCTGCACCTAGAAGTGCGGATTTTTTTATTTTTTTTATTTTTTTGAAACAAATTTTGTTACAGCAAACAGTTCATTTTTGGCAAATTTTTTAAACATGACATACGAGATAAAGTGATTGTAAGCTTGGATTTTGGTTGATTTTCTAGTAAAAGTCACTCGATTAGTTTGTGGACTGTAGGAAAACTGAAGATTTTTTGATTCATGTTATGATAAATTGTGTAATTTGGCTAATCCCCTTTAAATCTGGGTTTTAAGGTTCAAAATGTTAATTTTAACTATTTTTTGTTTCCACTTGTTTGTGACCATTTGAAAAGATGCTGTGCTGGAGTAAGGAGATCTTTTTTTGCCCAGGGAACACGACCACAGTTACATAACTGAACCCACTGTGGGAAATTTGAAAACAATGCCCACCTTTTGCCTACTGGGCTTGCAACCTGAGAGCGTGGCCCCTGCGTGCTGCAGTTTTCTGACGGCAGGAGGTTCCTGCTCCCTTATGAAGACCTTGCTGTTGTTTTGCCAGGAGAGAAACGAGCTTCTTTGAGGCTGGGGACGACAATGAGTCGAGGTGTTAGGCTGCTTTTGATTGTGGCCTTCAGCTTTTATATGTCTACGGTGACTGGCAAAGCTTCCACTTGTTATGCAGTACGTAGCAATAAACCGGTGCATCACCTTCTCAGGTGTACTGCTTCAGTAAACCCCACCACTATATCTGTCCTGAGCCTTAGCTTTCTTCCCTCACACACCCTGATCTATCAAAATAAACAACTGTTCTGACATTCTTTCACATGCTTAGCACATTAAAGCAGTTACAGACACGTTGATACTTGCAAACGCTGCCAGTGGAGATACAACAACCCTCTTTCTGGCAGTTTTTAAAAATTTTTTTTAGTATTAGTGTTCAGATTTGTTAATATGGTTTATCAATAACACTGACAGAGGTTTAAAGTCCATAGTGGTGTATAATAAAGGATTAAAGTTCCTCGTAACTGTTTGTCATTTCTGTTCATTTCTTATTGTGAAAACTGTTTATTTAAAACCTAGCTGACAGACACGTGTTTTTCAAGTGTATTTAGTTTTCTCAGTTTCAGTCATTTACAAAGATTGGAAATCAGA